GACCGGGACCTGGACCGGGCCCCTTCCGAGCCCGGGCACGCAGCGGGGACACCTGGTGCAGGCCGGGGGGGCAGCTAGCTGAGGTGCGGTGCCAGGCCATGCCAGGCCGCATCGGGCCTTGCTGTGCTGTAGTGCGCCAAGCCAGCCAAGGCAAGCTGTGCCAGGCCGTGCCCCTGTGCCATGAGGGCCTTAGGGGGTCCTGATGGCTGCCTACAGCGGCCTGACAGGAGGATGGAGGCAGGAGGGGCTGGGCTCTGCTCCCAAGGAACAAGGGATGGGACAAGAGGAACCGGCCTCAAGCCGCACCAGGGCAGGGTTAGATGGAGCTGAGGAACAATTCCTTCCCCAGAGGGTGCTCAGGCATTGGAACAGGCTGCCCAGGAGTCACCATCCCTGCAAGTGTTCACACAGCGTGGAGACGAGGCCTCGGTGCCATGGGTTGGTGGGATAATGTTTGAGGTTGATGGTCTCAAAGTCTTTCCAGACCCTGTTCATCCTATGCCATGCTGAGTGATGTGAGCTGTGCCATGCTGTGTTCTCTCTTGCAGGGGGCAAGCGGGACAATGACCTCATCCTGCCCATCAACTCCTCCCTGAGCGTCACACTGCACCAGGACCAGGTTGGGATGGGGTCAGGACCAGGCGCGGGCCCCTCTGCCCCCCATCCCATGGAGGGGGGATGTGGACCCTCCAACTGCACTGAGCCCCATTTCCCTGCAGCTCAAGACCACCACCACGGCCGCTGCCAGCCGGGACTTCACAGAGGACCGGCTATGGCTGAACGGGGAGGAGGCAGACGTGGGGCACCCCCGGCTGCAGGCCTGCCTGCGGGAGGGTGAGTGTCCCCCATCCCATCCCATCCCATCCCATCCCATCCCATCCCATCCCATCCACCGGGGAGCGCTGCTCCCCATTGCATCCCCAATTCCTCCCTGTATCCCTCTCAGTGCGACGCCTGGCCCGAAAGCGCCGGGGCAGCAGCACGGAGGACGCGGCCGCGCTCAGCCTCTCCTACAAGGTCCACATTGCCACCGAGAACAACTTCCCCACCGCAGCCGGTTTGGCTTCCTCCGCTGCCGGCTACGCCTGCCTGGGTGGGTGAGCCGGGACACGGGGGACACCGCATCCCAGGCCTGTCCCCACCATCCTGACCCCGTCCCCATGTCCCCGTCCCCGCAGTGTCCACGCTGGCACGGCTGTACGGTGTGGAGGGCGAGCTGTCGGAGGTGGCGCGGCGCGGCTCGGGCAGTGCCTGCCGCAGCATGCTGGGGGGCTTCGTGCAGTGGCAGCGGGGCGAGCGGCCGGACGGCAGGGACAGCATCGCACAGCAAGTGGCCCCCGAAACGCACTGGCCCGAGCTCAGGGTCCTCATCCTGGTGGTGAGGGGCTAGGGATGGGGTGTGTGGCTGTAACCACCACCCCCTGGCGATGGTGATGGTGCACCCCAACGCTATGTGGGTGCTGACCCTGGGGATCAGGGGGTGCCCCTTGCTGGGGATGGGGGATCAGGGGATGTCCCTTGTTGGGGCTTCGGGATCAGGGGATGCTGCTTGCTGGGGCTTGGGGGATCGGGGGGTGCCCCTTGTGTGGGCTGGGGCATCAGGGGGTGCCTTTTTCTGGGGATGGGGGGATCAGGGGGTGTCCCTTGCTGGGGATGGGGGATCAGGGGATGTCCCTTGTTGGGGCTTCGGGATCAGGGGATGCTGCTTGCTGGGGCTTGGGGGATCGGGGGGTGCCCCTTGTTTGGGCTTGGGCATCAGGGGGTGCCTTTTTCTGGGGATGGGGGGATCAGGGGGTGTCCCTTGCTGGGGATGGGGGATCAGGGGATGTCCCTTGTTGGGGCTTCAGGATCAGGGGATGCTGCTTGCTGGGGATGGGGGGATTGAGGGGTGCCCCTTGCTAGGGATAGGGATCAGGGAGTGCCCCTTGTTTGGGCTTGGGCATCAGGGGGTGCCTTTTTCTGGGGATGGGGGGATCAGGGGGTACCCCTTGCTGGGGATGGGTGATCACAGGTGCCTCTTGCTGGGGCTGGGGGGATCAGGGGATGCTCCTTGCTGGGGACCAGGGGACACCTCTTGATGCAGATGGGGGGATCAGGGGATGCCTCTTACTGGGGATGAGGGGATCGGGGGATGCCCCTTGCTGGGGCTGGGGGATCAGGGAATGCCCCTTGCTGGGGATGGGGGCTCATGGGGGGTGTTATATCCCATTGTCTGTACCCCCCAGGTCAGTGGTGAGAAGAAGCAGGTTGGCAGCACAGCAGGGATGCAGACCAGCGTGGACACCAGCCCCTTGCTGAAGGTAGGGAGCTCAATCCTGCCCAGCACAGCTGCCAGCAGGCGGGGTTTGGGGTCCTGGTTCTGTTAGGATGGTATTTGTCCATCCTGGGGAGCACCCAGGGAGCATGGGGGGTGTTGCGTGAACCCCGCAGGGTGATGTGGGTGCTGTGGGTGTCACCAAACCGGGGTGATCACGGCTCCAATCATGGCAGCACCGTGCAGAGGTGGTGGTGCCGGAGCGCCTGGCCCTGATGGTGCAGCACATCCGTGAGCGGGACTTCGAGGGCTTCGGGAAGCTCACCATGCAGGACAGCAACCAGTTCCATGCCACCTGCCTCGACACCTTCCCCCCCATCTTCTACCTCAACGACATCTCACGGCACATCATTGCCCTAGCGCACCGCTTCAATGCCCACCACGGGTGCACCAAGGTACCCACACTGGCCCCATGGGGCTCTGGGTGTGCTCTGGTGCTGTGGTCCCTCACCCCACGTTGGGTCTCATCTCACCACAGGTAGCATACACCTTTGATGCCGGCCCCAACGCCGTTATCTTCATGCTGGCCGACACTGTGGCCGAGTTCGTGGAGGTGGTGAGACGCAGCTTCCCCCCCTCCACCAACGGGGACCAGTAAGGGCGATGCCATGGCTCGCTATGGGGCGCAGGGTGGTGGGGCTGTGGCAGGGGCTGACGGCTCCGCTGTGCCTCAGGTTTGTGCGCGGGCTCCCTGTGAGCTCGGCCTCGCTGCCGGAGGAGCTGCTTGCGGCCGTGGTGGCTGAGCCGGTGCCGGGGGCTGTGCGGTACATCCTGCACACCAAGGTATGGGGCTGGGGGGAGCGTGGGGCAGGGGAGCCTGTCTGCCCATCACCAGGGCTGGGTGTGGGTCCCCATCGGCATCCACACCCCCGGGGTTGTGCATGAGACCCCATCCCTGTCCCCAGGGGTATGTGTGTGACCCCGATCCTGTCCCCAGGGGTGTATAGGACCCTATTTCCATCCCTGGATTATGTGAGACACCATCCCCAGGGCGTCTGCAAGACTCTGTCTCCAGGGATGCACATGACACCATCCCTGTCCTGAAGGGTCCACAGGACCCCATTCATATCCCCAGGGGTGTATGTGTGAGCCCATCCCTGTCACCAGGGGTGTACAAGACTCTGTCCCTCTCTCCATGGGGTTATGTGAGACCCCATCCCTGTCCCCATCCACAGGGGTGTCTGCAGGACCCCATCTGCAGGGGTGCACATGACCCCTTCCCTGTCCCCCAGGGTATACAGGACCCTATCCCATCCCCAGAATTGTGTACAGAACCCCACCCTTGTTCCCATTCCCATCCCAATGAGGGGCTATGAGAGCTTGTCCCCATCCACAGGGTTGTGCATGAGCCACTATCCCCATCCCCAGGAGTACACAGGACCCCATTCCCATCCCTGTCCCCATCCTGAGGGTTGTGTGCGGGACCCTGTCCCTGGCCCCATCCTTAGACATGTTCCCATGGGCATGACCTGTGGGGTGCCCTTTTGAGGTCTGTGGGGCCCAGAGCTGTCCCCCAGCCCCAAAAGGGCTGTCCTGCAGGCAGCAGAGCTCCCTTGTGCCCCTAACCCATCTCCTGCCCCACAGCCTGGCCCCGGACCCCAGTTCCTGGATGACCCCAGCCAGCACCTCCTGGGAGCAGATGGGCTGCCCCGCCGGACAGCCTGAGCCCGGTGACACCGCCAGGGACAACCATGATGTGCCAGGGGGCTCTGCCGGTGCCACCCTGGTGCGAAGCTGTCCCCAGCCCTGGGCAGGTTGTGACCCCGGGGCTGGTTTGTACTCTTTTGTAAGGAAATAGAGCTTCTGCAGTGCTGTTCTGGGGTGCCCAGGCTCCACAGGCGATGCTGGGGTGGGGGACACAAGACAGGGCTGGTTCTTCCTCATGGCTCTGGGGCTGATCCTGTCTTCCCTGCACAACCTCTGTCACCCCACGTGGCCCTTGTCCTTCCCCTGTCATAGAGTCATAGAAAGAGTTGGAACATCCAGTTCCAACCGCCCTGCCACGGGCAGGGACACCCCACACTAAACCATGTCGCCCCAGGCTCTGTCCAACCTGGCCTTGAACACTGCCAGGGATGGAGCATTCACAGCTTCCTTGGGCAACCCATTCCAGTGCCTCACCACCCTTACAGTAAAGAACTTCCTCCTTATACCCGATCTAAACTTCCCCTGTTTCAGTTTGAACCCATTACCCCTTGTCCTATCACTACAGTCCCTAATGAAGAGTCCATCCCCAGCATCCCTATAGCCCCCTTCAGACACTGTAAGGCTGCTATGAAAGCCTGTCCACCCCATGTCCATTGTGGGGTTGCTCCTGTTCCCTTTTCCCCACTGCTGTCCCTGCTAGGACTGATGCTGTCCTCTTGTGTCCCTTCAAGGGCTGATCCTGGCTCCCCATGGTCCTTGCAGGGCTGATCCTGTCCCTCAGCATCACCCTTGTCACCCCACATGTCCCTTGTGCCCCCAGTGACCCTCATAGGGCTCAGCCTGTCCCCCTGGACCAGACCCCCCTGCACCATCCTCATCGCCCCACATGTCCCGTGTCCCCCCTGCACGACCCCTGTGTCCCGGTGTGACCCCTGGGTAGGGGCTGGAGCGGGTCTCTATGAGGGCGTGGCCTACGGGAAGGGGGCGTGGCTTCCGGGAAGGGGCGTGGCCGGCGCTGGTTGCGCATCAGCCTTCCTGGTCGGGTCGGGCCGCGCCGAACCGAGCCGAAGCGAATCGGGGGGACCCGAACCGGGCCGAGCGCAGCCGAAGGGGCTCGGGGGAGCCATGGGGCAGATCGAGTGGGCCATGTGGGCCAACGAGCAGGCGCTGGCGGCCGGGCTCAGTGAGTGCGGGGGGGTGCAGGGTTTGGGGGTGCAGAGGGGTTGGGATGTAGGGTTTAGGGGTGCAGGGACAGGGGTTGAGGTGCAGAGGGGTTGGGATGTAGGGTTTAGGGGTGCAGGGACAGGGGTTGGGGTGCAGAGGGGTTGGGATGTAGGGTTTAGGGGTGCAGGGACAGGGTTTGGGATGCAGAGGGGTTGGGGTGTAGGGTTTAGGGGTGCAGGGACAGGGTTTGGGATGCAGAGTGGCTGGGATGTAGGGTTTAGGGGTGCAGGGACAGGGGTTGGGGGGTGCAGGGATGGGGGTGCAGAGAAATGGGGGGTCAGCGGTAGGGTCTGGGGGTGCAGGGGCTTTTGGTCCAGGGGTGGAGCTTGGGGGGTGCAGGGTTTGGGGGTGCAGAGGAATGGGGGGTGCAGGGTTAGGGTCTGGGGGCTCCGGTGGGTGGTATTTGGGGGTGCAGGGTTTGAGGATCTGTGTTTGGGCAGTGCAGGGTTATGGTCTGGGTGTTCAGGGGTAGTGTTTGGGGGTGCACGGCTTAAGGGGGTAAGGTTTGGGGGTGCAGGATCAGGGCTTGGGGGTGCAGGGTTTGGTGGTGCAGAGGAATGGGGGGTCAGGGCTAGGGTGTGGGGGTGTAGGGTTTGGGGTGTGCAGGGTTGCGGGGTGCAGGATCAGGGTTTGGGGGTTCAGGGTTGGGGGGTGCAGGGTTTGCGGGGTGCAGGATCAGGGTTTGGGGGTGCAGGGTTTGGGGGTGCAGGATCAGGGTTTGGGGGTTCAGGGTTTGGGGGTGCAGTATCAGGGTTTGGGGGTGCAGGGTTGGGGGGTGCAGGATCAGGGTTTGGAAGTGCAGGATCAGGTTTTGGGGGTGCAGGTTTTGGAGGTGCAGGATCAGGGTTTGGGGGGTGCAGAGTTGGGAGGTGCAGGATCAGGGTTTGGGGGTGCAGGATCGGGGTTCGGGTTGCAGGATCAGGGTTAGGGGGTGCAGGATCGGGGTTTGGGGTTGCAGGGTTTGGGGGTGCAGGATCAAGGTTTGGGGGTGCAGGATCAAGGTTTGGGGGTGCAGGGTTGGGTTGTGCAGGGTCAGGGTTTGGGGGGTGCAGGGTTTGGGGGTGCAGGGTTTGGGGGTGCAGGATCAGGGTTTGGGGGTGCAGGGTTTGGGGGTGCAGGGTTTGGGAGGATCAGGGTTTGGGGGTGTAGGGTTGAGGGGTGTGGGAGCGCCGGGGGTTTCCGGGATGGCGCAAGCGGGAGGCGCGAAGTGCGGTCCCGTTGGGATTGCGCAGGGAGGGAGCCTCCTCTTCCTCCTCGCCCCCTCCGGTCCCTCCTCCTCCTCCTCCTCCTCCCCCCCCCGAGGCTTCCTTCCCGCACAGGGCAAGGATGGAGGCGAGGGGGGCGCAGTGGCCACGGTGCCAGAAGCATCCCCTTGGGACCAGCCCCATACTGGAGCCCCCCCTCCCCACCGGTTCCCTTCCCATCAATCCAGGGGTTTGCTGGGTACAGGGACCACAGTCCGGGATGGGGGGGCGCACATCCCTGTTTGGGGGGGTGTATCCTGGGATTGGGCAGTGGTGTATCCTGGTTGCAGGCAGTATTCCAGATGGATGGGTTGTATCCTGGGTGAGGGGGTTGTATCCCGGTTGTATCCCGGATTGGGGGGGGTGTATCCCAAGTTGGGATGCCTTATCTTGGATGGGGGTGCCATGTCCCAGATTGGGATGCTGTATACCGGGTTGGGGGTGCTGTATCCCAGGTTGGGATGCCATATCCTGCATTGGAGTGCCATGTCCCACATTGGGATGCTGTATCCTGGGTTGCGGGTGCTGTATTTGGGATGCCATATCCTGGTTTGGGGTGCTATATTCTGGGTTGAGATGCCGTATTCTGAGCTGGCATTGTGTATCCCGGTTGGGATGCTGTAACCCGGGGTGGGGGTGCTGTATTCCAGGTTGGGATGCCGTATCCTGGTTTGGGGTGCTATATTCTGGGTTGGGATGCCGTATCCCGGGTTGGGGTGCTGTATTCTGAGCTGGGATTCTGTATCTCAGTTAGGATGCTGTATCCCAGGTCGGGGGTGCTGTATCCCAGGTTTAGATGCCGTATCCCAGGTTGGGATGCTGTATCCCAGGTTTGGATGCCGTATCCCAGTTGGGATGCTGTATCCCAGGTCGGGGGTGCTGTATCCCAGGTTTAGATGCTGTATCCCAGGTTGGGATGCTGTATCACAGATTGGGATGCTGTATCCCAGATTGGGATGCTGTATCCCAGGTCGGGGGTGCTGTATCCCAGGTTGGGATGCTGTATCCCAGTTGGGGTGCTGTATCCCAGTTGGGATGCTGTATCCCCGGTTGGGGGTGCTGTATCCCAGGTTGGGATGCCGTATCCCAGGTTGGGATGCTGTAACCCAGATTGGAATGCTGTATCCCAGTTGGGATGCTGTGTCCTGGGTTGGGATGCCATGTCCCCAGCAGGGACCCACCATCCCCGCTCTGCCCACAGTCATGCTGACAGGCGGGATCGTGGCCGTGGCAGGGCAGTTCAAGGGCTGGTACTTTGCGGCGTACGCCATGTATCCTTATGGAGAGGATGCCCAGGAGCAGGAAATCCCTGCCCCGACCAGCATGGACAGCAGGAGACACCACCCCCTGCCCAACAGGACCCCAAGTCGTCCTTTCCCTGCCCTGTTTTCGGTTGGGATTGTGTCTATGGACTCATCCTGCCCCCGAGCATCCCTTTCCTTGACCCCCCACCCAGCGCTGCAGGTGTCCTGGTCTGCCTGCTTGAGTACCCGAGGAGCAAGAGGAAGAAGGGCTCCACCATGGAGAGGTGGTAAGTGGGGTGCCCCCCCCGCCATCCCGGTGACTGGGGGTCCTGGTACCCCCCAAACACAGAGACATGGCACTGGGGTTGGGAGCGATGTGATGGGAACAGGGCTGTATCCCAGGGATGGGTTCCTTGGGGTATCCCATGGACAGACAGCATGGAATGGGGGTCCTTTGGGTAACCCCCGAGTTCTGTCGCCCTGCAGCGGCCAGAGGTACCTGACAGCGGTGGTGAAGCTCTTTGGACCCCTCACAAGGAATTACTACATCCGAGCCGTCCTGCACGCCGCGTAAGTGGGGTATGGGGTCGGGATCGGGGTGCAGCCCCCGATCAGCCCCTTCCAACCCATCCCATCCCATATCCACACACAGCTTGGCCGTCCCCGCCGGCTTCCTCCTCTCCACCATCCTGGGCACCGTCTGCTTGGGCATCGCCAGCGCCATCTACCTGCTGGTGAGTGCAGAGGGGACGGGGGGGCAGGTTTATGGGGGGGTCCCATTGGAGCAGCATCATTCCCAACGTGTCCCCCCCCCTTTCCCGTCCTTGCAGGCTGCAGTGTGTGGGGAGGAGTGGAGCCCCATTGAGCAGCAGCCCCGGGAGCGACCGCATGTGTGGGACACCATCAAGCAGCCCCCCAGCAACCCCCCGCCACGGCCCCCCCCAGATGCCCGCAGGAAGCAGCCGGTGGAGGGGGGGGGTCAGGTGAACCCCATCCCCGTGGAGGCTGAGTGATGGAGGGGGGGGGGACCCTGCTGCTGCTGCTGCTGCTGCTCGTGCTCCTGCTTCCCAATGTACTGCGGCTGCTGGGGGGGGAATGGGGTGCTCAGCTCACGGGGATCTTCAGATCCACAGGGATGCTCGGGTCCTGGGGGGTCTCCAGGTGCCAGGGGCTCCCATCTGCTGTGGATCCTCAAATCCCAAGGGATGCTCAGTTCCCGGGGGGTCCACAGCTCCTTGGGATCCCCAAATCCATGAGGATCGTCAGTTCTCCCTGGGATTCCTGGGGAGTCCTCAGATCCACAGGGATGCTCAGCTCCTATGGGGTCTCTCTAGCTCTCGGGGGCTCCCATCTCCTGTAGGTCCTCAAATCCCAAGAGATGCTCAGTTCAATGAGGCATCTTGAGCTTCCACAGGCTCCCCAAATCCCCAGGGATGCTCAGGTCCACGTGGGGTCTCCGGATCCCAGGGGCTGCCCATCTCCTGTGGATCCCCAAATCTCCAGGGATGCTCAGTTCAATGAGGCATCTCCAGCTTCCAGGGGCTCCCCATTTCTTGGGGATCCCCAGATCCACAGGGATGCTCAGCTCCATGAGGGATCTCCAGGTCCCATACGCTCCCCAGGTCTCCAAATCCCTGGGGATCATGAGTTCCCCCTGGGCTCCCCACTGTCCCCAGATCCCCAGTGATGCTCAGCTCCCTGAGGGGCCCAGCTCTCCAAGCAGCCCCCATTTCTCCAGGATCCCCAAATCCCTGTGGAACACCAAGCTCCCCAGGAGATCCCCATCTCCCCATGATGGGGATCAGCAGCTCCACTCCACACTGGCTCTCGCTGCTTTTTGTCACTTGTGCAGTTGCAATAAAGGTTGGGAAAGATGCTGGATGCTCCTGCTTCCCGCTCCAGAGGGGCTGTGGCTGATGGGGATGGATTTGAGAGGGGTTAGGACCACTGAGAAGAGTTTAAGGGCAAACAGCGCGGTTATGGGCAAACATAATGGGTTACAGTGCAGTGTGATCCCTCCTGGGTAGAGCAACAGGGGACGTGGGGGTACACACATAGTCCTGTACCACCACAAATGGACCCAGTGGTGGGGTGGATGTGAACGGTCGTACATGGGCCTGCACCCCAGCAATGCCCAGAGGGGCCCCCAAAGCCTGGGGTGACCCCGCTGGCAGGGGGGGGGACATTTCCCTCCCTGCTCCAGTCAGTGGTGATGGAGGTGCAATGTGGGATCGATGCTGAGACTGAACGTGCCCCATCAGTGTGTGCTGGGCTGTGAGCAGCAGGTCATGGAGGGGATCCTGCCCGTTTAGTCTGCTCTGTGAGACCCCGCTTGCAGCACTGTGTGCAGTTCTGGTGGCCTCAACATAGGAAGGACATGGAGCTGTTGGAACAAGGACACGAGGATGCTCAGGGGCTGGAGCACCTCTCATATGGAGACAGGCTGAGAAAGTTGGGGCTGTTCAGCCTGGAGAAGAGAAGGCTGTGTGGAGACCTCATAGCAGCCTTCCAGTATCTGAAGGGGGCCTATAGGGATGCTGGGGATGGACTCTTCATTAGGGACTGTAGTGATAGGACAAGGTACCCGCAATGGGGGTGCTGCGGGCACGGGGTGTCCCCAGCAGGGGGCGCTGGGCCCGTGGTGCCGTGGGAAAGCTGTGGGCGGTGCTGCGGGCACAGGGCTGGTCCCCCCGCCCCGGGGATGGGGCTCCCCTGCATCCCCCCCCTGTGCAATGGATGCGCTGGGGCTTTACCCACCACACTGAGGCTGGGAGATGCCGAGCATCACCCCATGGGGCAGCCGTGAATGTGCCCCCCATAGATGGGAACAAAGCAGGGAGCATATTGGGAGTGTCGGCCTTTATTTGCAGGCTGCCAGTATTAAATAGCACACACAGAGGAGACAATAAATAGGATTGGGGGGGGGGGGGTGTTGGAATAAATAACCAGCGAGCCTTCAGGCAGTGCTCGCAGGGTCTGGCTGCAGAGCCATGGGCACCGTTGGATGATGCTGGCCCTGGAGATGCAGCGTTGGTGGGGGCATCAGCAATAAATAACAGGTTAAAAGGAGATCCCCAGCAATAAGGCTCATAAATAACATAAATAACAGGGCGAGGGGTTGAGGGGGTGCTCTAAAACAAGCACGGGTCAGGGTGGATGCGGTGACACGGTCACGCTATGGGGCTCCATGGGAGCTTGGGTGGAGGATGCTCAGCGCCCGGTGCGGGGCAGGACGCACGTACAGCCCACAGGCACCCTGATGTAGTCCACCTCGAAGGTGACGAGGCCGGGGCCCGTGGGGCGCGGGCAGGGCTTGCGTCGCAGCACCATCATGGTCTGGTAGATGAGCACCGAGTTGAGAGACGTCGTCTCCCGGCCCGTCTTGACGTCCACGCAGCCGCTGCAGAGGCACTCGGCGAAGGCCAGCTTGCGTGGGTACCGGTCCTCGTCCTCATCGATGCTGCGGGGGGGGAATGGATGGCATCATCAGTGAGGCCCTGTGCACCACAAGGCATCGCCTTTGAGCAGGGGTAGGTGAGGCATGCTTGGGGAAAGTGATGCTAGTGTCCAAGGGATGCTTGGGGAGCCTGATGTTTAAGGGATGCTTGGGGAAAGCAATGCTAGTGTCCAAGGGATGCTTGGGGAGCCTCATGTTTAAGGGATGCTTGGGGAACCTGATGCTGGTGTCCAAGGGATGCTTGGGGAAGGTGATGCTGATGTTTAAGGGATGCTTGGGGAAAGTGATGCTGGGGTCCAAGGGATGCTTGGGGAGCCTGAAGTTTAAGGGATGCTTGGGGAACCTGATGCTGGTGTCCAAGGGATGCTTGGGGAAGGTGATGCTGATGTTTAAGGGATGCTTGGGGAAGCTGATGCTGATGATTGAGGGATGCTCGGGGAACCTGATGCTGATGTCCAAGGGATGCTTGGGGAACCTGATGCTAATGATCAAGGGATGCTTGCGGAAGCTGATGCTGGTGTTGAAGGGATGCTCAGGGAAGCTGATGTTTAAGGGATGCTCAGGGAACCTAATGCTGATGACGAAGGGATGCTTGGGGCAGCTGATGCTGATGCTCAAGGGATGCTCGAGGAAACTGATGCTGTTGTTGGAGGGATGCTCAGGGAAGCTGATGCTGTTGTTGGAGGGATGCTCAGGGAAGCTGATGCTGGTGTTGGAGGGATGCTCAGGGGAGCTGATGCTGGTGCTGGAGGGATGCTCAGGACCCCGAGGCACAGCGCAGTTGTGGGGGGTTCACTCACCGGTATCTCCACGGGGAGATGGAGCGCTCGTGGGGCTCGCTGTGCAGCCCAGTGCGCAGCTGCAGCGCGGGGCAGGCGTGCTCCCCGTGCCGGCGGTGCCGCCGGTGGCCGGGGCCGTCCTGCAGGCGCTCGAGCTGCGGCACCAACTGCACCGGGACGTAGTGGTCCCAGCGCAGGCTGCGGCCCAGCAGCGGTGCGGGGGCTTCGCCGTCGTGCAGGTCTCCGGTGCTGTAGCACGGCACGTGCGGATGGGGCACGGGGCGGCGCAGGCCGCGGCACAGCACCAGGGTCCACAGCAGGGCCAGGGCAGCGAGCCAGCCCTGTGGAAGAGACTGGGTCAATGTGGGGACCCCGTGTGTGTGGGACACCCGTCACCCTCCCACTGCACCCATGGGGAGGCAGCATGGAGATGAGACCCACAGCCCCGGGCCCCCAGTGCCATGGGTTTGGGTGTGCAGAGCATCAGCACACGTGTGTGTGCACACACATGTACATGCAGCGTCAGCACATGGGGGTGTGCACACACAGGGTACCTGGACATGTGTGTGCACCCCCACTGCCAAGGAGCATCTCACATGTGTGTATGCAGGTACACACACCTGTACATGGAACCATGGCAACACAGCCTGGATGGGTGGGAAGGGACCTTAAAGCTCCTCCAGCTCCAATCCCATGCCACGGGCAGGGACACCTTCCACTGGAGCAGCTTGCTCCAAGCCCCTGTGTCCAACCTGGCCTTGAGCACTGCCAGGGATGGGGCAGCCACAGCTTCTCTGGGCACCCTGTGCCAGCGCCTCAGCACCCTCACAGGGAAGAGCTTCTGCCTAAGAGCTCATCCCAGTCTCCCCTCTGGCAGGTTCAAGCCATTCCCCTTGGCCTGTCCCTACAGGCCCTTGTCCCAAGCCTCTCTCCAGGTTTCCTGCAGCCCCTTTAGGCACTGGAGCTGCTCTAAGGTCCCCCCTTAAGGAGCCTTCTCTTCTCCAGGCTGCCCCAGCCCAGCTCTCCCAGCCTGGCTCCAGAGCAGAGCTGCTCCAGCCCTATGTATGCGTATACACACACACACACACACACACACACACACACACACACATACATTTACATACGCACACATACAGAGTGCCAGCACACGGTATCAGCACACACACACAAAGATACCAGAACACGTGTGTAAAACATACATTAGTACCACGTGTCCACAAAGGATGCACAAGCACACGCATACACATACATGCCCCATGCACATACAGATGTGCGTACACACACACACACATGCAATGTGTCAACAAAAGGCCCTTTGTAAGCAGAGGCCGCTGGGCTGGAGGAGCACAGGTCTGAGGCTGTGCCCTCCTGAGCACATCTGAGTGATGGAAACCTCATCTCCTTCACTCACATCAGAAAACCCAGCTCAGGTGTCACAGCCTCCTCAAGGAAAGGTCTCCTAACACCAAAGAGCTGCGCTTCCCTAACTCCTTCCATCCATGCACCCACTCAGTGGTAACATGCAAATACACGTATGTGCAAGCACACGTTACCAGCACGCTTGCATACAACTGAATTACCCTCCTAAGTGCACATACAACCCAGTCAGAAACACATGCATTTATCACCATCATATGTGCATGGATGCATACGTGCAAACACACGTTACCAGCACATCTGCACGCAGCTGCATTACAGTCCTAACTGCGCATAGACACACGTACAGGGCAGAAGCACCACGTGTGTATGTGCCTGGAGCTGTGAGCACCCTGTGCTGGGCAGCCCCTATACATACAGAGCACTGTGCTCCTTACATACCAACACTGGTCAGAGCCACATACACTTATCACTGTATATATACTATATATGCACACCTTACATACAGAGCACTATAATCCCCCTGCATACACATACACACGTGTAAAAGCAGCAGCCACCAGCCAATGCACACTTCACATGTGCATTTACACATGCAACAAACCACAGGTGCCTTAACACACACGTGTGTTCTCACCCCCTGCAATACACCTATGTGTCCAGACACGCTCCCAGCCCCACATTCCCCCCAGTTTAACCCCACCCCGTTCCCATTGTTACCATGAGGAGGGCACAGGAACACGGTGATGGATGCTGTAGGGGGGAATCCCTTCCGAACCCTTGGGATGCAGGCGGCCGAGTGGCAGCACCTCCGCTGCTGCCTCCTTTATATAGGGCTGGGGCAGGTGATGTACACACACCTGGAAACTCCAGCTCCGGAGCTCCTTCCTCCTCCCTGCGGGTTGTCATACTTCCTTCTCAATCCCGCGTGTTCCAGCCCGGAAATGGAGTCCCGGCATCCCTAAAATTGGTTGGAGGATGGATGGGAATGGAGAGGGGGGGGTGGGGGGTGTGTGTGTGATAAGGCATGTATAGACGTGTAGGGAAAGGGGTGCTGACTGGTTTGGCTGCCTATAATGGGTATGGAGTGATGTGGGAATGCGTGGTATGGGTTGTAGGGGGGCTGGTGGATGGGTACCCAGGGCATGATGTACCCTGGGTACCCATCCACCAGCCCCCCCCCAGATCCCTCCCTTGACCCATAGGGACACGATCTCTGTGCCCCAGGCCATGGCCCCATTGCGTAAGCACCACAGTGATATCACCATCACATTCCCAGAGTAGAAATCCCAAATTGGGCAACACTGGAAAGGGCAGTGGCTTTGATTGCCCCCTCTGATGCTGCCTGGTCCAGCACCATCATCCTGCTTGATGCCAAGATGATGATGCTGAGAAGAAAGGGGAGGATGCGGTGGGAGCTGGCCCAGGGATGAGCAGAGGGTTGTTTTCCCTGCATCATTCCATAAGCAACCCTCTGCTGAACTGGGTTCACCAGGGAAAGGATTGGGGGTCAGGGCTCAGGCTTTACCCCTATAGGAGCCCAGTACTCCCAGTACAGTGTGCAAAACAGTACTGGGAAGCGTTTGTGAAAGGTTTACAGGCACAGCCACCCTTTGTTTTTTTTTTACCAAAACCATGGGATTTGCACCCATTTCAGCAGTGATCTTTAAGCTGCCCCACTGCCCAAGCAGATGGGCACAAGGCACACAACTGGGGACCTGCAAAGGGCTGGTTAAACCCAGAGGCATCCCCAGATTACACCATGTGAAATCCAGCGTGGAGAGGAGTGTATTACACTCCTACTGTCCACTACCAACGGGTACTGGTTCCATACTGGGAGCAAGGGCAGAACCTCTCATCACAGCACACAGGGGGTACCCCAAAAAGGGCTGGATAAGCCCAGAGGCACCCCAAAATTACACTGAGTGAAGCCCAGCCCACAGAACCCCCCATCACCATCTAATACCAGTGGGATACTGGTTCCATACTGGGTGCAGGGGCAAAGGACCCAGGGTGTCCAGGGTACGTGTCACCTGCATCAAAGAGACACAGGGCTGCCTGTAAGCAACATGGCAGCAATTCCAGCTCCATGGGGCTGCTCATGGTGGCAGCAGAATCAATGCAACCATAGGGACATCAGGAGACCATGACAAACTACGTATCTTGAAGTTGGGGGGGCACAGGTCCCCCAAGGCAAGGGAGTGGGATGACAGAAAACAAGGAAAAGAACTGGTTATCAAAATACTTTATTTTATGGAAATCCCTCAAAAAAAAAAAAAAAAAAAAACAGAAAAAAAAAGGGGAAGAAAAAAAAAACCGAAGAGGAAAAGGACCCTCTCTGTTAGACAGACATGCCCCCAGTACCTTCAGGGTTTCTCCTGAATCAACTAAGACATTCTGCTGCTCAAAATAAAAGACAGGTCGTTTTCCCAATGAGACTTTAGTCAAGAATATATATATACTTTTGTTCCTGGAGGGGAAGGGCAGGGGAGAAGGTGATGTTGCCAGCAGTTCACAGCAGTTTTCAGCTCTCTCATTACACAGTATATAGAACTGCATTGCTGAAGACACTCAACACACAGCAGGGCTAACTAGGAGAATACAACTCAAGGCTAGCAGAGAGGAGAGAGGGCAGAGAGAATCAGAGGAAACAGTGAGAGCATCCAACGTGGGGAAAGGCTGGAGTCCTCTGTGCATAATTTACATGGGGCATCATCTCCTGGAGCAGGCGTCTCTCTTGTCAATAGAACTTCTATCTTGATTTCACGGTTTCGGGGTTTTTTCTGTGTGGGTTTGGTTGTTTTTTTTTCCCTAAAAAGAATCGCAGCCAAAATAAGACAGAACTGCAAAATCCCGACGTGGCTGCTTTGACACTCGTTATAAAAAGATCAACAGTCACCAGGGCGCTTCCCACTATACTTTCCCTGGGATTTTGGCCCGCTTGCGAGCGATGGCGTCTTCCACTGCCTTGAGCTGCTTGAGGAGCTCCTCCCGTCGGGACAGGGTGCTGGATTTGCCCGCTTTGGCACCCGTGGGGCCCGGCTCCGAGGCTTTTCCCGGTACACTCGTGACTTTGCTGGAGCTCTTGGACTGAGGTGAGAGCTGGCGCTTCCTGGAAGGGAAGAGATTGGAGAGGGTGGTGATAGGGAGCAGCAAGCACATCACACTGGATACAAACCCCATTGACAGCTGCTCCAGGGGAAAGCATCGCTCTAAGTGCCCATGGAAGGAAACAGGGGTTGGAGAGCGGGCTGAAACAGTAAAAGATCGATTTTTCCAAGGGGATTCTGAGATTTACACCCAGCTCCCAAGGGCTGTGCCAGCTTGTGGCTGTTGAGAGCAGCTCCCTGGGTTTTGTGTACACAAGGGAGCTTGCAGGGACACAAGGGAATAGGGGAAAGCAGCACAGGTTGAGTGCAGAGCAGCCCTAGAGCATCCCCATGGTGTCAAATCCCAGCAGCTCCTGCCCTAGTGTGGATGTAGCAGCTGTGGGGAGCACCCAGAAATGCACTCTGGGGCTGTGAGATGCTGCAGGAGTGTGGCTGAGCCCATGTGGGGAGGAAGGGAGCCACTAGTCCCTGCCACTGGCAGCAATGGCTCTTCCTGGATTGTGTCATGACCAGGTTGGAGGCAATTGGCCTGTGGATTTTCCCACCAGAGGCCACTACTTCCCCTCATCCTCATGGGGGAAGGAGGATGACAGAACCAGGAAGCACAAGCCTGCTGGGGTTTGGCAGTGCCACCAGCTCGGTGACACACTGAGAGCACAGTGTGAGCCTTGGCTGGCTCTAATGACTTGGACCACTTAGGAAAGCACCACTGCTGCTGCCAGATGTCAGCGGTGAGAGTCACCATCCCCTCTGTTAATGCCACCCCTTCATATTACACTGAAGAGAAGTGTGGCTCTGCAAGCATGACCCAAACAGCCCCAAGCAGAAACAAAACACAGACCTACCCCTGGGCTACCCTACAGCACACCAATGTGTCCCTAACTACCTTGGGTCTGGGCAAAGGGAACGCCAAACTCACCACGTGACATTGCCAACCCAAACAGCAGTAGGCAGATGAGGGTCAAGAACAAAGGATGTGGCCAGCACCATGGTCTGGTAAGGGTGAGGTTTCTCTACACTGCTAGAAAACAGGACCTCAGGGCCTGAAGGAGGACAGGGCTGTGGCAGCTGGGGACAGGTTTTGATTTGGGAAGGCTCTGATACACAGAAATTGAGGCTCACTTGTGCCCCAGGCTAGGGACAGGGACATGGGGCAGGGCTGCATCCCTTGGAGAGATGACACTAGAGACATGCAAAGCACCACTGCCTGGCTATGGGCGAGCAGGACCAAGGAAGCTTTAGGTGTGCCGCAGAGGGTGCTCCACAACCCTTTAGCCAAAGGGCTCTGAGTGCAGCACAGCCCAAAGCCCCTGGAGCCACACATCCAGTTTTGCAAAGGGATATTCCCAGCAGTGGGTGCAGGCCACCAAGAAATCAGACAGGAGGTGGACACCCATCACCAGAGGGAATGGGAAGGCACAAAGCCAGGGCCAGTCACCACCCAGTCTCAAACAGGGGCCACAATTTAACGTGTCACAGCAGCAGAATAAGCACCTGAGGTTCTGCTAGGCTATGGAAGAGAGGGAATTGGGCACCTGAGCCATGTGCCACAAGAAGAGTGGCAGCAGGTGGATGGGGTTGTACTTTCTTCCTCATTAGCACTACACAGTACTAGCGAGAGGCAGAGGCACTGGCATGACTGAGCTTGCAGCTTACCCAGTTGGCTCCTCTTGCTGGGACTGACCTCAAGAAAACCCCCAGGCTCCTGCTCATTTCCAAGCTAGAACAGCTTAGCCAGTGGCTTCCACATGAACCCCTGGGCATCTCTGGCTCTCACCCAGGGAGCCTGGCATCCTTCCTCTTGTGCCTCCATGGCAACTTGGAACTATGTCCAGAGAGCCTCAGAGCTGCTTCAGAGGAGGGAATGAGCTGCTAGAGAAGCATGGGCCCCAGCCTGACCCATGAGAACAAGAGGGCACTGACCTTTCTGCCTGTGCAGGAGAAGGTTTCGTGTTCTGGCCTCTCTGTCGTTCTTGCTTGGGTGAAGAGAGTCTCCCGGTTGCCTTCCTGTCACGAGAGCCTATTGGGAAGAGAAAAGTTGAGAGGTTCCCACTCATCACCAAGGTACAGCTCGCTACCCTGCCTACTGCACCACCTCTCAGTGTACAGATGCTCTCTTCAGACTTACCAGACCATGCCAACAACAGGCCAAGTCCAGCAGCAGCCAGAAAACACACCTACCATTGTGCACCCTGTCCCCAGGGTAAGCAGGTAAGCTAGGCAAGGCTGTGCCCCATGGTCAGCTGTACAAAACAGCACCTGCAGGGAGCCACACTGTCCTCTCCTCACCCTCTGGCTGCTGGAACAAAGCTGCTGCACGGTGCTTTTAGGCCATGCTTTGCTCTCAACCCTGCGGGGCAGGGTGGGCCCTTGCAGGCAGTCAGTGCTCCACATTACCCAGTTTGTTCACAACGGGCACTGTGGCACCTGAGCTGGCTCCAGGCTGGACAGGTAACAGGGTGTATTGGTTTAAGGAGTGATAGGTGGGTGAACTCTGCTGCTTTTGGAGCCAGCAAACCCACAGGCAGCATCACCTGTGTGTGTTCAGCACAGACTGAACCATCATGCTCTGCCCAAATGGACTCAGCAGTGGTGGGAAGCCCATCAGGGTCCTGCAGCAGCATTACCCAGCTTTGCTGCAGTGGGTTTCCCAACCACTGCTATCCCAGTGCACAAAGAAGCAACCACTGGAAGGCAGCCCGATGCCTGCAGGGCTGTCCATGAGTCCCAGGGACAAGCTGAGCAACACACCCTGCTGTACTGCACCGGGACAGTGATGTTGGTGGCTGCTAACCTCACATGCAGTAGCACTCCAGAGAGCAAAGGTGCCCAGTTCCTCATTGCAGCAG